TTCTGAATAACCAAAAGGCTCAGGATGTTGATATTTAGTCAGTAGCATGCTGGGATCAAGGACTACTATGTTTGTTAAAGTGAATGACTTTGACCTATATTCAAGGTCACAGGGGTCAAATTTGTTTAAAATCTTTAAACGACCTCTTCTGAATAACCATGGGTCCCAGGATGTTGATACTTTGCAAGTTGCATCCTGAGATGAAAGGCTATAACATTTGTTCAACATAATGACTTTGTTCGACTTTCAATCATAGGGGTGAAATGTTTTAAAAAAAATCAACAGGGTCTTTTGAATGAATTTTAATCATAATTACTGATATTTTGCCTATAGCTTTATTTTAGATCACTTTTAAGGTTACAAGTGTGAGATTTATACCAGGTAAGCGATGCAGGCCCATTGGGCCTCTTGTTATGAATGTCATATATTCATGATGATATGATATGAAGATTAAGAAGTTCCTGGTTTGGGCTAATATTGGCCCTTATCGCCCCTGCTCCTTTGTGTCTACACAACAAAAGCTAGCTTTTCATGTAGTCTATTTTTGTACTCGGCACATGAGTAAACATTGAAAAATCCACTGGAATGACCTATGCTAAGACGTGAGTATTTCTGTTACTGAGTAGGTGATTATTTAATTTCAGGCAAGTATTAAGAAAAAAATACTAATTGCAGGGGTCATATTTTTGGTTAAAAATCATGTTGTTTTTTTTGCATTTTTTGGTGTTCTTTGATGTGGTAACCATGGTTTACACAAGTCCCAAATCTGGGAAAAACAGTTTTTGAAAAACAATTCATTCTTCTAAAGAAAATGTATTCAAAATGTAGTTTACAAATATATATATATATATTATATATATATATGTAGGTGTGTTGTGCAGGTTGAATCCACTATCCATGTTTATTTGAGACATACCCTTTTGTTTTAGGAACAGGCAATTTCTACTGTACTCTGCTACCTATACTTTTTAGACTGGGTATATACAATAGAAAAGAAAACGATTACACTTCTTAGACTGGGTATGCAATAGAAAAGAAAATGATTTCACATCTTAGACTAGGTATACAATAGAACAGATTACAATTCTTAGACTAGGTATATAATAGAATTGTAAACGGTTGCACTGCAAAGACTACGTATATAATAGAATAGTAAACGATTACAATGCATTGACTGGGTATACAATCTTGTCTTTGAGATCATGCTAGTTATTTCAGTTTTTTCTCAAATATCTTTGCAGATAAATCTGAGTTTAAAAAACCTCCATACACCTACAGATGTGAAGAGATCCTGTGACGGCGGAGGTCATCCATGTAGTTAGTGGAGGTCAAAGGAAGGCTTCTCTATTGTTTTCCTGTCCCAAGGATCAACAGACATAATATATTTGTTACGAGATTGTTGACACTTTGCCTTTTTGGCTTGCAATGTTTTCTGTGATATTTCTAAGACCACTATTTAATGAACCACTTATACTAACTCCTCTTTAATCACTTTTTTGTTTGGAAAAAATCTTTTAAACAACTGCCATGTTATCAGAGTTATATGTGATTTTTAAATATTTTGAATTTTTATTGTGTTGTGTTTTAAATAGTTGAATGTTAATTGATGAAAAAATCTAACTGTGAAAGTACTTAGATAGTAATGTGGAAATTGATCATCCAAAGTGAGAAAGGAAAATTTATGTGAGATTTACTTTTACTAAAATTTGTTATCAATTTTTGAAAATTTATGTTTTTTATCATGGTTGTTTTATTCTAATCTGTTGATGATCTGTTGCAATCACAAAGCTACTTGTTGTCACATTTCTGTTACTCTATTTTACCAGACAAATCACATTCCATATTTGTTGCTTTCTTGTCATGGACATATCTGTCACAATTGATATATAATCATGTTATGACTAAGAAACATCAAAATCAACAGCTACAAACAATCAGAAAAATATGCTATAAGTAACACAAAATTTTATTTTTTATCTTTACATAAAATCCATAATGATTATAAATGGCTGGTTTTGGGTTAAGCATTGTCAGGTAATTCAGATAATGATTTTGTAGCTATTGCTATAGATACCTGTAATATGTTTTAATACAAACTTCTTGAAAGGGCCGGTTTCCAAAACAGCCCCTTCTCTGATTCAAATTTCCTGTTGGTGGTGCATTGCCTATGACGTTGTGGTCACAAATCTATAAAGTATAAAGATTTAGGTCACTTGGTTTGTTTTTTATGTCTCCTCAAAGTTGTACCTTTCAGAAGCTGTCTAAGTGTTGATAAAATGTGCATGTTATGTAAAATATTAATGAAAATCTAATCAAATGATGGTCACCGTAAAGAATACATTCATGGCATGATTGTGACAAAAAATCATGTTTCCATCGCGCCATTTGGCTGTTTTATGGAAGAAACAATCTCAAAAATGCCATTTTCGATGATAACATTTTAGACACAAAAACTGTGTTTTTTAGAGAATACACCCTTTTATGGGCGTTGGATGCAAACCAATTTTTATCCTATTAAACAGTACGTAATATGCTATTGATGAGAGGAAAAATCATCAAAATGTAAGTGGTGGAACATTTTCAAATGTTGGGTTGAATTAGCCTATGGTTGAATTGCCGATTTTCGACTTTCTTTAGATAATTAACAAAAAAACGAGAGTATTTGCTCGGTATGTTGAGAATATGTACACAGATATGAAAAAAAGTGAGAGAAACACTTTTTCATAAAAAAAATCCAAGATGGCTACTTCACAAGTCCCCGTGGTTGAAGACATTGGCTGACAAATAGACAGAACAACAAACAAAACGTGTTCCTTATGATTTTGGTTGGTTTTCGCATTTACGGGAGTGTTCATAGCTACGGGCGATTGTATAATACCTATATTTATAAGTTTGGTTAGTCACATGGTAACGGGGATCTTTCATATCGAGCCCCAAACATACTTTCGACATATGCACTCCGTTGCCGCATGGAAAACTATTTCAAGTTTTGTCGGAATTTCTTTACCTGTGGTTGTAATGGTCGAGGGTTTTCCAGCGTCCTGTAATACCCAAGGTAGTACAAGATACTGGAGATGTGCGCACACATTCCCATCGTTCTCTCTCCAACTGGGCACTGGCAGTAGTAGTCCTTTATTGGGGCCTCAACATCGGGTGAAACGGTGAACCGTATCCAAACGTTATATTTCGTTTGGCTTTTGTGTCGAGAATGTATTTGACATCGGAGAAGGTCTGGGGAGTGCTGGTAAAGCCACACCTCATAGTCTCCGTCATCACTTAAATGTTCGGCGATGTAACCAGGAGCCAGAGATATCTGATACGTTCCACACGTAATGGTTCTCAAGTAATCAAGATCGAGACGGGGAAACAGTACGGAAGATGCATCCATCTTGACAAACTCGGACCTTGCCCGTCTAGATAGATCCGGATCTGTCTTGACTCTCTGAGCTAAACCATTCGGTGTTGTCAAACGGTCCTTCATACGTTCAGCCATTAGCCTATCTTTGGCATCTCTCTCTGGAGATCTCTGGTAGATCGGTCCTCTAATACCATTCAGACAGGCTGTGACGGTTCGAAGCAAAGCCTCGATGACATTGATAAAGCTGTTAGACACCAATTGCGTTCGGAAGAACGTCCAGTGTTTCAGACGACCATGATAGGATTCCACAATCCACCTCGATTTGGTGATAGTTCTGTCAAGATTTGCTTGGACGTCAGAATGTTGACTTTGACCGGGTTTCAGGTATGACGGCATGCTAGCATTGAGGCCAGAGGCTTCGAGAACTGGTAGGACATCTCTAAAACCTCGGTCAACGACAACGTTGTCGTCTGGTTGTAGCCAAGTAACTAGCTTGTCCATGACTTTTTTTGTAATTGTAGCATCATTTTCGCTGCCAGTGAATGGTCCTACTGTGTCCAGAATGTAGCCATCTGGTAAGGCGATGCTCATGAATTTGAGATAGTTTCTCTTCTTCTGGCCACAGTAGGACATTCTCTGGAGCTTGTGGTCGGAGCTTTTCTGGATATAAATATAGGTGCCATCTAATATGGCAGTGGCTTTATCTCCAAAAAATGCTTCTGAAAAGACAGTATTGTGCCCGAGCAACTGTTCTCTTGTCAAGTGATCCGGACCTAGAAATTGTGGGACTATCGATGTGTCTAATGCCTGTACTATGGAGTGGAAAGTTTTGGACACACTTGACTTGGAAATTCCAAAAAGAGAAGAACACTGACTCCAGGAAATGTCGGTTTTCAGTTTTACCCAGAACAGTAATAGAGCATCGTGTGTAGTCTTGGTATATATACCAGATGAAAGATATGGGGAACAGTGCGAGTGGATTTCGAGGAACTGATCTTTGGACCAACCTGTCCAGGCCATGCATGCCGAGTCATCAAGAGAAGAAAAGCTTATTGTAAACGCAGACTGGTTCTGTGAAAGGACGTGCGACACCTCTAGGAGGTCATTAATGATTTCGGACGATTTTGATGGTAACTGAGATTCCAAGGAACCTCTACCATCAAGGACAACCTCTGTAGACGGATCTAAGTCGTTACCAATAAGGTGAATGGAGCAGACGCGGGATGAGGTGGGACACCACAGTTTGTGTGAATAGATCAGGTGATGTCTTGCACGTTTTGGTAAGACTGATGATTTTGTTCCATTTCTTGCAAAGGTAACAAGACAGAGACAGCATTTTTTGTGTGAAGATGATCCATTCAAAAGATCATGAAGGGTCAGCAACGGCAGGATATGGGACGGGGAGTCGTCTTCTTCCTCTATTTCCTGGTTCTGCTCGGGTTCAGGTTCAGGCTGATTTTTGTTCCGAAGATACTTCATGTAGCACTTCTGGCAAATAAGTGCTTGTTCCTTTGCTGACATCAATCCTTGTTGCACCAGCGTATCTAGGAGCCATTTATATTGTGGACTATTTACATTGCGTGCACTTCTGTTCTTATTGCCACTACGTTTCTTGAAGTATACTTGACACCCTTCTCCAACACATTTACCCTCCATCTTGAAACAATAACGATTGGTTTATGAAGCGTCGATAAAGTAACAAAATAGCAAGCCACCGATGATTGCTGTAAACAGCTAATACTTAGTAGTTTGGTACAATTATGCGAAAATGTGTGATAAATAACGAACAACTAATTACACAAAATAACAAGACAATATAATAAATCACATTCAATACCTCCAAGAAGCGCAGAATTGATTGATTACTTAGAACAAAATAAAGTATTTCATATGGATAATCTATCTATTCGATGTGGCGTGGTCGGCAGGCACAAAGAAAGTGAGACAAGTCAGGGTCCCAACCCTGACAGAGCCACAACGCTTTGGAGATGGGACAATAAAACAAGGAAAGTGAGACAAGAATAGCTAGCGTCGAGTCAATGATTCCGTAAACGTATAGACAAAGACAAGAAGATACGGATAAATGTACAAGGCCACACGATCAGAAAATTCAGAAGAGGACAACTTGAGATAGAACAGTATTCATGTATCAGGGTGTCCTCAGTGTAAATCTTTATATCGATACTGTTTATTTAGTCGTTACACATCATAAAACTGTCATGAAAATATCCGCTCTGATATTCAATATAAAAGTTTGTATATAATAAGCTATATAATAGGGTTTCAGACAAGGTTGTTACTCATTTCCCCTTTTCTTNTAAATACTGTAGACTCAGGTGACCGTTAAGGCCCATGGGCCTCTTTTTCTTCATAATTGTGTCTCTGCAAGTGCATTTTCATCCTTTTTTTTTTTTTTTTTATGTTTTATGAATAAACACAATGTTTTGGAAATATTTATCAAAGAAATTTATACTATGTTGCTAATTACAATTTCGAGATAACCTTCTTTTATTTACGAACTTATGTCTTTGATGCTGAAATTGACAACTTTATAAAAATACATTTTCACTGAAATTATGAAATCTGGGTGTCGGAAAGGTGTAAAATTATTCTTCGGAAAAGAAAAAAACAGTAGTTGAGCTAGATAAGAAATTATACGGGGGCAGGCTGCTATGGAGAATTAACATTACTGGAAACAGGCCCTTTTACAAATGTTTTTACTCATGTATTTAAATACACAATGTAGTTGAAAACAGAGAGAATCTGAGATAAAAATGAACAAAAATAAATGATTAAATTTTGTTGGCCTTGTAATAAACTACATACAAATCCTGAAAACTACATTAATTCTTTTGTGAAAATTGGAGAATGCTCTCTTACAAAACTACTGTTTTAACATCATGTCCTTACTACAAAGGGAGTTGTAGTGGTTAAGATGTCTGACCGTCTAGATCACTAGAGCTCACCAACACTGGATCACGGGTTTGAGGCGTATGTGGGGCAGTCGCCAGGTACTGGCCACAAGTCGACGGTTTTCTCTTAAGGGCCCTCTGGCCACATAAACCTTGCACGTCCTTAAATGACCATATATACCTGCTAATAGGAAGTAAAACACAAACAAACAAACTCAATTACAAAAAGGTATTCATTTTAATCAAGGTCAAATGGATTGATCAATGAGTTCAAATACAACTTCACAAATGTTTAAGGTAAAGATATGTCAAAATTATATCCTTCAGCAAAGAACTAAAATTTTAAAGATATGAGTTCCTGCAATATTTCACTGTTTAAAAGAGTTTAACAGGATGGTTTTAAACAGAGAACAAGTGCCAGTAGAAGTCCCTCAAGGTCTGTTCTATTTTCTCAAAACTAAGTAATGATAGGGTTCATCGCCATTATTAGCTCACCTGCCCGAAGAGCAAGTGAGCTTATGTTATGGTGCGGCGTCCGTCGTCCGTCTGTCCGGCGTCAACTTTTTGCTTTAAACAACTTCTTTTCGGTAACCAAAAGGCCTAGGATGATAATATTTGGCCAGTAGCATGCTGAAATCAAGGGCTACCAAGTTTGTTCAAATGAATGACCTTCATCCATTTTCTAGGTCACAGGAGTCAAATATGTTAAAATCTTTGAACGACTTTTTCTGAATAACCAAGAGGCCTAGGATGATGATATTTGGCCAGTAACATGCTGGGATGAAGGGCTACCAAGTTTGTTAAAACAAATGACCTTCACCCATTTTCAAGGTCACATGGGTCAAATATGTTAAAAACCGTTAGACAACTTCTTCTGAATACC